CACACACACACACACACACACACACACACACACACACACACACACACACACACACACACAATTCAAACAACTGCCAAAAAAAGTCTGCCACTTTAAGAAAATGCCTGTCCCCCCTCAACTCTCTAGATTTCTTAATATGCCGTACAATGATTCACACACAGACTCACGCACACATGCAAACTATGAATAAACCCCTTCATATGAGTGAGTCACAGACATGCCTCGCTTCTCACTGAGACGTGTTATCTCTGTCTAACAAAGGGCACAGATTGTGCTGGGATATTTAAGGAACATTTCAGGGGTCTCCACATCCTGTTTTGTGGGAGATGGAGTTTTTTCCCATCAGCCCACGATCATCTTTGTCTTTCTTCAGTGCTTGCCTAAAGAACATTATTGTGTTTCTTCCTATATCAGTTAAATGTCTTTATCTTTCGGTGTAAAAAAGGACCCGAGGTAACAAAAAAATACAAAAATAAACCTGAATTGAATTTTTCTCCACTCTCTGTCTTGAGATGATTGTCATTTCTGTGAATAGAGAAGCAGATATGATGAAGAAATCTTACTGAGCTCTGCATGCATGTGGCAGATGATGGGAACACATAGTTAGACCGACTGACACACACACGCATCCATCCCATCCATCTACTGGAAATGTTTTGGCAAAGGACACAAGACTCCACTTTCACCATAGCTACCCCGCTAGCAGACTGTCTCCATAGAGAAAGCATATCATCAGCAGCCTTACTGTCCTCAGCCTTCACTCACAGTCATAGGCGATCATCTCTTGTTTGATCTGTACAGATTTACTTTGAACTTGTATGCAGCTGCGCCATGTGTCTATCTGCGGGTTGATTTTGGACAGGCAATAAAAGACATGAGAAAAAAAAAAAATCATAGCCCAGAGTAATGAAAGAAACAGGGTGGAGAAGAGGGTGGGAGTCTCCCGTTTAACCCCCCTTTCTTCAGTGGCTCAATAACATTCTTCATTCTGAGCTGCCTTGGGGAGAAAAGGGGGTCCCCTTTCATGCCGAGCAGGGTGTGGTGCAAGAGGGGCCGTCACGAACCTTTAGCTCTAGTTATTCCCACCTCTTTCTTTTTTTCTCGCCTCTTTCTCCTTCTCTTTGTCTCTTTAATTGGACTGACTGACCACAGCTCTCTCACCTACAGTCCTGGGGGCATGTTGGGATCTCAGGAAATCAATACTGTAGCAAAGGAAAGGAGAGCTGTAGGGGCAAAACGCTCAAAAGTCAGACTTTTTAGCAAACACGCAAAGAAATGATAAACAAATTACAGATATTTTGGGTGTTGTGTTTCCCTTTGGTTTCCATGTCAACTATTCAAGTCCTTGAATGAATTCTGACTTTAATGTCCCGGCAATTAGATCAGTCTGATGGGAAACAAGTAAGAGAAGCAAGAATGCCAGAATCCAGCCCTGACCTTCTCTGTGATTGGTCCAGACAGGATGTTTAAAGGTAACAAGGATCGATTAGTATTCCTGCCTTAAGTCTTGCATGGCTGCTTCTAGCTTTCAGCCCTGTAATGGTAACTGCAGTCAAGCTATTGTCTGTTTGGATTCCTGTTTAGCTCATGAATGTTTGTTCTGAACATGTGTATGTGTGTTTGTGTGAACTTCTCCTTCTTTGACAGCGGTCCCCCCCTCCCACCTTCATGCCCTCAGTCCCCTGCAGTGCTCCCGACAACAACATGTTTCCCCGGAGACCGATTCAATCTCCTAAAATCAGAAATTGCACACAAACACTCGCACGGGCACACACGCCAGTCCTCCCTCTCTCCTCTTTGTTTGTTTGGGTTCGGCTTTGTTCTTAATTTCACAGATAAAAGCTGAGCAGCTTTACATGATAGCAAGATAACAAAGGCAGGAAGATAATCCTAATTCAGCCAGCTCACAGAGGTAATCTAAACTGAAAAATATCCCCTCAAAGAAGCTGTTTTTTAAAGCTGTCAACACCAACTGTGCAATCTCTCACCACAACATCATGGTGTAAATACCATAAGTACTTCTGTCCCATTTTGTTCAGACTGATGCACAGAGGCAGAAGAAGGATGACGTCATATATAAAAGACCTGTAAGCAACAATCGCATGTGACAGACAACAAGATGCAGAAAACGTGTAACACAAATGGAAAAAACCCGAAACACAATCAAGTCCAGTTAACAAGGCATGTTTTTTTTTGTTTTTGTTTTTGTTTTTTAATATGTCATAGCTACTGACTGGGAACAAAGATAGCTAATTAGCCACTCGTCCATCACAAGCTACTGATGCAGACGTGACACGATTCATCTGCATTAGATTAGTGACAGGGCACA